AAATATAAATAAGAGTGGGTTTTTTAGGATAAAATAGTCCCGTTTCTCCTCTCAGACACACTTACCGAACAAAAATAACGTTAAAGTTCCCCGCAGCCAAATCAAAGCCTTGATTCTCAGATGTGGCGAGGCCAAAGCCCACGGTGAGGACGGACAGGGACAGGGTGAGCAGCCGGCCAAGGACAAACAACACGGCCCATATGGTGAAACTGGAAGACAAGAGGATGACTTTCTCACCACCGGTAACTCCTCACTGGTGAAAGTTTCACGGACCGCCACACAATGATTAGTCCACACACACACCATTCTGAACATGGGAACTCACCCCGTTTGTCTGTTCTCGTTGCTGAAGTAGATCAGTCGGGAAACGTGGAACAGAAGCTCGACGAAGTAGTGCAACACCAGCAGGACCAGACCCAGACGGTTCAGACTGAAAGACACACCATTCCCCTTTATTACAACCGACAGGAACAACACAGAGACACCAATAACTTTCCCCTGAAGGACAGTATACAAACACAGGATTCATGCCACATGTTCGACACGTGTATTCCAGTTCTTACTTCAGAATGTAGGCGCCTGCAATGTGGACCAGGTACAGGAAGATGTACACAAGTTGGCGTGGAATATCCTCCTAAACAGTAAACACAAAGGATGACAGGCCAAGAACGCTAAATATTGACTCTGCATGTGGAATTTAAGCAAGGCGAGTATGATTCTTTGAAACAATGCAACACAACCAAAGGAAGTCAAACAGGAAGTAGTCTGAGGGTCCAGACGGACGCTACAGCACGTCATACTAAACCATCACAAAATGATGGGCGCCCACACACACACACACGCACACGCACACGCACACGCACACGCACACGCACACGCACACCTACCTTCTTTGTCTTTTGGAAGTACAGTTCTGGCAGAGCATGTAACCAGTAGCCCAGCTGACAAATGAAGTAGAATTTGAACTGGAATCTGAGGGAAAACAGGAGTTTAAAAAAAATGTAAACGTTTTCATAATTCAGAGCCATACTTGAAGCGCTTGTAAAATAACCAATAAAGTAACACATGACAGCATTTCTTGTCTATTTAAACCACAAAGAATAAAGAAAAAGAAAAAGCATCTCTAAAATGCACACGGCCTCCACACATCAACGTTACAAACTTACGCCATCAGTGTGTGCGGATAACCCTCCCACAGGCTGACTGGATTGGACAGGAGTTTTTCCTACAGACAAAGAGGCATTTACATTACAGTCATGGACATGTTTTTTTTTTGGGGGGGGGGGGGGGGGGCAAAAACATGTTGCCAAGAACAACATCAGCTTAGCTACTGTACGTACAGAAAGCAGGATGCTTGCGCCCCAGCCAAAGGAGAATAAGTAGAAGGCGCTGAGCTGGCCCGACTCATTGAACTTGCTGTGCTTGGTTTTGGAGAAGTGCTTCTTCCTGTTGATTTTCTGCAAAGATGAACGACAATTTAAAAAAAATAAATAAAAAAAAAAATAAATAAAAAAAAAGCAGAGCTCAAAATGAAAGTCTTGTGTAATCAAGTCTGTGTCTCACTTACATCCAGCACATACTCCTGGATAATGGCATGCATGATGATGGCCACCAGCATGTAGAAGAAGGTCGTGGCCAAGTCCTTGATGCCATGGTGGAAGTGGTTCACGGGCGTCTCCTCTGGGCCTTCAGTAGCATGCGTAGAGGTCAGACACATGAATATCATATAATAACATTTATATTTTCATATGCTATATGCTTTTAGATTTTCCTGTAACGCCGGCACTGACGCCTCAATTGAAATACAGCTGAAGTTCTTCTTCTTACTATATTACGTGGATTTTTTTTTGGGTGCCATCTCTCAAACTCTTGGGCATGTGCCGTAGTATTTGCACACAGCACAACACCAGATTTGAACGGTGAAGAACGTTCGGTGCATCTTTTTCACATTAAAAGAAAATTAAGAGAAAATATTAAGAGAGCTTCAAGAGAATGTTGCTGCATGAGGCCCATTGTGTTTCACCAATATCCAAAATGTCAGATGAACCCTGTTCATCCTTAACATGAACTGTTGATCCATTTTAATTAAATGTAATCAAGTGATTCACACGTTTAATAACCTTGACTCCCGAGGTGAGGTGTTTGGATTAGTGAGTCATGACTGCAGTATTACACCCCTTTGACATTAACCGCCTCAGCACAATAACACGTCATATTAACATACTAACATAACATACTGCGAACAGTTTGGTGACGGCCAAGGCGGTGCCCACCGTTTATGCAACCACACAACGAAATCAGTCCAATCGTTTGTTAACGTCAGCACAGACTAAGAAAAAAAACACAGTGGCGCTACTTCATTCATTTCACTACAGTAGAGTTAGGTGCACGTTATTTGTGTGATTAGATACAGGCTGTGAATAAGTTACAGAGGTACGTACTCAGATAAGAACTGAATCACCAGCTGGCAGCCTGCAAAAAACCTCCAGCCTGTACCGCAGAGTATGACTAAGCTCTGTGGTTGTGCGCTTCTCCAACAACAGTATCTGAAGTTGGCAACGAAATCGTTAACCTTGAAATGAGCAGGACTTGAATCAACAAGCCTATATTACACCTTAGCCCAATTCACCCGGCACAACCTTGCCACAAGAGAACTTTAGAAATCAGGCAGACTAAATTTAGCTCCAAAGGAGGGGGGGGGGAGGTCGGAGAAGGAGCTCTCGAATGGGTTTGTGTAAAGCTGTGCAAGAACCGCTCTAGAATGTAAATGAGAGGCTTCCAGCAGGACAACTCTAAGAAAATACTGCATTGTGTGTCGAAGACAAAACTTGCAGTATCAGTTTGAACACGTCATCCGTAAACATCTGTTCACACCATTCATCTCATACTCTCAATTCAATCCTTATCTTACCGTTTGTTGATATGGTGACGTTGTACTGGACTGTTATGAATAACACTGCAAACTTTGAGGTGACCTGTAGATGGGGGAAAAAAAGGGGTTACATGTGTTTACACCCTAAAACTTGGAGCATTGCATTTATATATCAAGGATTCCCTGCAAGAACTAAAATGGAGTGACCGTAACTGTGATTTTGGCAATCTATTATAGCAATTTTAGGTTGATAATACACAAAGATCAGCAATAAATATGAGGCCATATGGGAACTGTGCAAAACTACTGTGACAACTGAAACAATGGGTGATAAAGCTCTGCCAAGTACTTCTGTGGAGGTGTTAGGGATAATTTAATGTATATAGGAATACATCACTCATATAATCACTTTAATTATATAGATTGATATGAAATGACCCAACTAAGTATTCATCAGAGAAGCGAGTATAGCTGCATCAATACAGTCAAGTAATAAGGTTACAATGGGAAGCTGCTTAGTTTTCCTTCACAACAAAAGAACAATTTGACAACACATTAAAATGTAATGCAAGGAAGAAGTAGTCACTGTTGAATTAAATTGTCATAAACGGCCATCATTTTTGAAAAATGTTCATGCTGCCGCCACGACACGATGTACACGTTGCCACAGCTGTTGGTACGAAAAGGGGATTTTACTTTGGAGAACCAAAACAGGAAGTAGTCTAAATCAACGCAGACGTGACACTAATGGCGCTGCTTTTTCACTGAGGATGAAACAACCTTTTTTTTTTTTTTTTTTTTAAATGCAACATAAATGTGAGTGAAAGTGGACCCGCACGCAGCTCCGAGTCGGCGGTTCGGTGTGAGCCGGGTTCCCGTTAGTCCGCCCGCAGCCCCGAGAACGCCGTTCGAGCTCCAAACTTTCCGTTTTAGGGGCACGAGTGGGTTCCTCTGTGATGACAGCCCTCTCAGTCGTTGTGTGATTGCCACGTAACACACGTCTACGCACAAAAACCAACCCAGCGGAGAGCGTTGCACGATTAGTGTAGCGCACCGATACAAATGTTGCAAGTCTGCAACAAGCCGAGACATTTCCATAAACAAGCTGGAAGACGCATCCATAAATTACACGTGAACAACTTTGGTGTGTTGTGTTTTTTGTTAATGATCGGGCCTGCAAGACGAGCGATTTGAAAATATCGATCTCAACATGGGAAGCAGCCAGATGGACAGTGGATTCTAATGCACACGTCGCTTTAATGAAGACAAAAACGCATTATATCTTTATGAAAACATACCCCCGAATAAATCAATACATCTCGCGGATTAAAAGGCAAAAAGCGAGGCCACCGTGCAGAGGGAAAACTTTCGATCACGGGAGGAAGTAGTTTAGAAGAATACGATCAGACAGCCATGTCACTTTGCAGGAGAGCGGATCATTCGGCACCCCGTCTAGCAGCAGTCCGGGTCCACTCTCCCATTCAACATGTGGGTCGGGACTTACCTCGAACATCAGCCCGAGGAGGAACACCATAGCAACACAGGAAACAATGTCTGCATGGTTCTGGATGACAAACTCATGGCTCAGCACTGGCGGATTCTTGTTGGTCTTTTTTCGGATCCCCATGTCGGCACAACTTTTGCTTTACGCGGCGCAGATGTGGTCGATTTCTGTCGCGATATTATTATTATTATTATTATTATTATTATTATCCGTCTGGTACGAGGACGCTCAAAGCTTCATACGAGCGAAGGGCCAGGCAGCAATTGAATGGCGTGTCACTCTGCTGCTAGTGGGAGGGTCGAGCCGCGGAGGATGATCAACGACACTCTTTTACGCACGGGAGAGAAACAGCTGGGGCTCTCTATCGCTCCCTAGAGGTTTGGAGTATAAGAGAGAGTATTGCTAACCCATTGCCTGTAAATGCATTTCCTTATTTGAGGAAGACACTTGTTTGCTTTCTTGTGGAGAGTTAGAGGAGTAAATTGATACCACTGTCATATGTGAAGCGGTATCAATTTCCTCATCTGGCATCGGCAAGAAAGCAAATAAGCCTATTTCCCCCCAAAATGTATTCCTTTAATCAAAATACTACACACTAATTATAGATACTTCACGCCAGGGGCTTTGCTGATGGGTACTGTAGTACTTCAGGACACACACATCATACACATAGTGGGTAAGTGGGAGGGTTCAGTATGGATCCACAGCCACAATTCTTTGCCCGCAGTTAATGTAAGTGCTTGGATTACAGGAAAACCACTGTGCAAGGTGTGCACAGCAATCAAAAGATACACCTGTCGTTGAAAATGAAGCAATACGTCTGGGGTTGTCTCGGGATTTCACCACTGACTGGCTGCAATTCAAGCCACCCAAAAAATCTCTGTAGGACAAAGGATTGTGACAGGGAAGTTAAAGCAGGAACTATTACCCAGTCATACACACACACACCCTTACATGCACACAGGCACAAGATCTGTTATGTAATTACACATTTCTGGTTTGACTGTTAGTTCAGAAGGTTGTCACGAGGGTGGGGCTTCACTCGGCTCACAAGTTTCAAGGAAAGAGATAGAGGACGGCTGCATGCAGACGTTTGTGCCTCTGTGTCTGTACACAGCTGTCTGCCATGGGAACAATATACTGGTAAGTTGAATTGATGGTGATATGCAGTAATAATTGTGTGTACATTAAGGCAGAATGTGATCAATTTGGGATTTGTATATGAGCTCAGAATCATTTGTAAAGAATCTTTATGAAAATACGATAAATTAACTTTGGCTGTATTTTTATCGAGGTGAAGATAATATGAATGATATTTTGATATTGTGCTGTCTTAAATTAGTTCATTTTTATTGCTTTACTTTACAATGGCCTCTCATTAAACAGTTTAATATTATATTGAGTCTCGAGGATTTAAAGACTTTATGGAAACCTCTAATGAAGTTATTTTTTTATTGAGAAAATAGGTTTTAAAATGCCATTCAGATGTACAATAAAAAATACAGTAAATCTTATAAAAGACTTGAATGCACATCACAAATCATTTTATCATTCCTGCCGATAACATCATTTTCCTATCGTGTTTGTAAGTATGCCATTTAGCAGGACCCAGTGTTTATGATAGAGTTCAAAGGGCAGCAGACTGCAGTCATGTTGCATTTCACCACCGTCATGAGATTTGTGGTAAACCTGCACAAGATTTCAACGAAATATTTGCGCGTGATAAGCACTCTGTCTTTCCCATGATACTCATTGTTGTTTTTTTAAACATCATGTCGTAATGCTCCTACAGATTGACCAAAATGGCACCTGATCTGCTGGGGTCCAACACCAAACTGTCCACAGCAGCTTTTCCTCAGAACCTTCAGAGCGAAACTGAGCAAACCACATGTCTACCTTCATCGCAGAGCGACGCGTTTGGTTGAATGACGACACAAATGCCTCCATCGGACAATCAATACACTAAACTGCGATGGTTACTGACCATCGCTGGACTGTTCTTGTATGTTGGGGACATTTGGACAGACATCGGACTGGCCGTGAAATATTTTCGAGAGGGTCGTTTTGTGTGGACCGGACTGACTCTGGTGTTTGTGCTGGGTGGGCTGCTGGTGACGCAGATCTTCAGCTACGCCTGGTACAGGGACGACATGAAGGACGTTATGATGAACCCTGAGGGGAAACCAACCGTATCAGGCTTGTCCAGAGGTACCCTGGTTGTCCTGCACCTATTTGGCATGGGCATCTTCCGCAGGTAGGACCTCGATAAGAGTGCAGCACTGCATTACATAACATAAGCTGCTCCTGTGGAACGCATGCATGTTGCGACTCAAAATGTGTGGCATGCAAATCCTGCACATTGGCAATGTGAAAACTGGAGTAACCACAAAGGAGAAAATACTGACTAATGTTTGTTGTCATTGTGTTTGGCCACCTGTTGCTAGGTATTATCACCTGCTGAAAAAGGGCTTCACAGTGGTTTGGATCGCTAGACATTCCTACACAGTGGACGAGAGGAGCGACGTGCACAAGAATTTGTTTTGCATGGCGACAGATCTGAGCATGCTCAAGCTGTTTGAGACTTTCCTGGAGAGTGTCCCCCAACTCCTTCTGCAGCTTTACATAGTGCTGGTCCAAGGGGGTTGCTCAGTCTTGCAATGTAAGTAGAGGCAGGAAGCGACATATTTTGGAATTCGCTGTGTCACCATGTAAAGCATCCGTCCATTTCTTTCAGTTTTCTCCATGGCGTTCTCCTTCTTCAACATCGCCTGGTCCCTGGTTGACTATCGCCGCTGCCTGCGTAGATCCCTCCCCCACATCGGGGAGATGCCCTCCGGCCTCCCCACAGCCATCTACCTCCTCTACAAACTCTGCACCATCACCAGCCACATCCTCAGCTACACCCTCCTCCTCATACTGAGCCCCTACACCGCAATAGGCCTCACCGTCCTCTGGCTTGTGGGGACCACCTGGACACACGTGCTTCAGACCAACTTCTGCTCATCTGGAAGGCTCGAGCAACTGTTCCGAGCGGTCATCGGAGTCATCCTCACGTTCACCTTTTTCAACGTCAAAGGAGAGGGCACCAAGGTGGCCGTGATCGTCTACTACACGTTCTATACTTTTGTAAACATTGCGGCTCCTTTGCTGCTGGCTCTGTTGAAGCCAGAGTTGCAGGGCTCCACGTTTTTGCTGACAGTCAGCTTTTTAATCTTTGGAGGATCAGTGCTGGGCCTGGTGTGCCTGGTGCTGTACTACCTCCTCCTGCATCCCAGAGAGAAGTGGCGAGAGGCGGACGAGGTGGACAGCCTGGGGAAGGAAACACATGCCGCAAAGAGAGTACAAAACTTTTTACAGCCTGGATAATCTATTTCTGGTTACGGGAGTGCGGAGAAAAAGATGGCTGGGAATCTGAGACTACTGTTAACTACTACTAACAATTTAATGATGAAAATAAGAGCCTTTACTTACAGAGAGGTGTCATCTTGATATTGTGCCTTAATAATGCTAACAGTTATCTTCTGAGGAAAGTTAGCTTTTTTCATTACTAATACAAATAGCAAAGCAATTAGGTGCAATAAAGTTGACTATATAAATTATATTTTATTTATTATTGTTTACTAAACTTGTCAAAACTACATATTTGTCAAACTACATATTTATTCTTAGCAAAAATACTGTATTTGTAATAACCCTTATGGAATGCATTGTCTCCGACCAAGACTGTCCCATTAATAATGCATTGTATTAAAATCTAGAAATTATATTACGATACTTGCAGGCTGTTTTTTTTACCCACACTTTCTTGTTGTCAGAATCATAACAGACAGTTGAGTGTACTTATCGTTCAGTAACATCACCTCACCTGGCACTGCGTCAGCAGGATTCTATTTGGTGGATGCTTACTTAAGCCTGTAACACACACGTTAGACACAAGGTGGCGCTATTGTCCAGGTTTACTTTTCTAGGTTAGGACCCATATCACCCAAAAAAACTTCATACTTTCAGTCAGGAAACATGCAACAAGATTTCATGACTTTTCTAATCACAGTAATGTCTTCTCCCTTCATATTTCAAGAGCCCAGCTGGCTTTAATCTCACGATACTTGAGTGCTTTCATTGTTCATCTTTATAATCTAAACCATAATTGTATGATTTATGCCATTCCTTTAATTATACAGTCCTTTGTTTGAAATTGCATGTTAATTGTGTTTGACATATTTTTGTTCTTTTCCTGCCTCTTTCTGATAATATACTGATACTGATAATCAAAATTTGCCAACAAAAATATAACAAAAATATTGAATTGATCGCCACAGATAAAGCTCACCGGCAGCACACACGCTTGAATGAAGTTTCTCCTGCTCGTGGCCACCAACATCACCTCCCTGACCTCAAATTAAACTACCAGCTGCTTCTCTGATCCTTCTCATCTTAATCACTGGAAACTCAAAAGGTGGCAACTTATAAAATCCCCCTCTCCTCAGAAATGATGAAGACAGAAGTCAATGGATGAGCTAACTAGAAATAATAACAAACCGGTGCTAATTTTGTTTTGACGACCGGCAAAATATTGGGCGAGTCAAGCCGGAGAGCCGAGGACGCCGTTTCTTCCTGGACGGGGCTCGACCGGCCCAGTGTGAGCTCACCTGGGAGGAACGCTGGCAAACCGCAGGGTCCAGAGACCACCATGCCCCCCCACCCCCCCACCCCTTCTCTTCCTTTAATTCAGCCAAACTCAGAGCTTTTTGACTTGTTTATTCCAAGGGGCCACTTAAACTTTCATCTGTCAGTTGTGCTCTATCAGACACACTCCATAAAATGACAAATTTAAGTGAGGAACTTGAGGGAGAAATGAATCACTGCCAGTTACCACACAGAACTCAGTTTTACTGGTGCTAGCTGCAGACTCGAACTCTTGGAATTATTAAATGTTTTTTCTCAATGTTTATTTAGAGTCAGCAAAGCTACTTGTCCTAAATAAATAGCTTTAAAGTAAATGCAATCCTAATGTAGAGTGATTAGATGGATAGAATCTTGATTTTGGGAACCAAAAGGAGGATGTTGCACCACTGCACCTGTAGGCAGGACACATCATTAGGGAGGAAATAAAGTGACTTCATCCTTTGCATTTCAGATGATGGATGATGCCCTCTCTCCCTTCCACTGTATATTTCCTCGGGTTTAGTGGACTAATGCGACGTAAACCTGCCAAAGGGCCTTTTATTGGGAGAAGATGCATGTGTCCTGGGCTGGACTCCTAAGCAGTCTGTCCCTTTCCGTCTTCCTTTGCTTTCATTGAGTTGCACATACTTTTGGCTGTGACTCACCACTGATAGCATTGCCAGGGAACAGTCACAAGCCATTGGGATGTAACGCCATGAGTAAAGCATTACCTCCCTCTCTCTATAGGAGAAAACAAGCAGAGAGAACTCTGGCGTTGACAACCTCTCTGTAATTTCTACTTCTGGCACTGAGAGCTTAATACCCAGTAATCTCTCACTCTGATCTCAACTGTAATGCACCTCCAGAAGGGCTGGAGAGCATGGTGAGAATCTGAGAAAAAACGAACAGCGCATCAAAGATGATCATATGTGACAGTGCAAACTGAATCTCCAAAGCACTACAGGCCTTCGTTCCGCTCAGCCAAAGACAGAAAACATTGACCACAGAGTGCACAAAACACAAAGACGTGTAAACTCACACCGCAGTCACCGTCGGCAGCTCACTTCTGCCTGATTGAACGCCGCTCAGCGTCTGCGTAAACAACCTTGACCACTGACCTCTCTGTAACCATCACTAGCTGTTCACCAAATCTTATCTTTTTGTTTTCCATCACCACATCCTGCAACAAGGAAGGGGGGGGGGGGCATTCCCGGCGTACGCCATCCCCACAATTTGTACAGACACAATAAACCCAGAGAGGCAGGCTGTTTTTCATTACAGCTTCAAAGTCCATATAAACCATGATTAATGAAGCCCTGAGACGTTGTATGTCTTTAATTATTATGACTTGACTGCTGCAGATGCATTAGCGAGGTTGGCGATCTGTACACGTCTGCCTGGCTCACTCGGACATGGCTGCTTCGACTTGTGCTTGAAGAATTCCCCGAATGTGGGAGACGAGGACGTGATAGAACCCCCCCCCCCCCCCCTTCTTTTTTTTTTTTTGCAATGGCACAGAAGTTTCTTTAATCACTGTACATGCACTCTTACAAATGCGTTTGGGCAGTGACAGATTGGAGAGCAGGCTGAGGATAATTACATGCAGTGGGCTGGTGTGTGATCAGAGCATGGCATTGCGTTACCCAAGGGGGCTCTGTAAATAAAGTCCTCATGCAATGAATGAGGATATTGTAAAGTGCATTACGCTGGGCACAATAGCCCCGCCATTGTTACTGTATGGATTTCTGCTCCGGAGTGGCTGTCGGTGTTGTATGACAACAACTGCCACGGGGAAGACAATCTAGGCTTAAGCAGAAAATATTGTGGATGAGGTCAGTTGTTACCATAAATCTGACACAAGGCACCAATTACCCACAGTATCCATAGAGAGAATGAGCTTAAGTTGGGATGCATCTTTCTGTTCTGGGACTTCCAAGAGACTTCCCTTTCATGGAAATGTATTTTTTTCAATTATAAAGAAAAGCATCTTATCAAAAATCGGAATCAAGACCCACACAGTGAAGCTGTCCAGTTATTAGAGTTTAACACAATTCAATAGATACATTTTGAGAAACATCACAAATTATCTTGGGTTGTAATATGTACAAATAGGCCGACACCACCATCAAATTGAAGTCATTTGTTACAATAGATGGACAATAACAACGTGTCTACAGCCATACTAGAGGCTTTGGGTGACACTTGGACCTAAATGCTAACATTGGTATGCTAACACCACAATGCTAACATGCTGATGTTTACCAGATATACTGTTTACCAAGTTCTCCACCTTAAGTTTAGCATCAACACTTGCTGATTGGGACTAAACACAAAGTACAGCCGAGACTAAATGTCATTCGTTTTGCAAGAAAAAACAAAGTGTCTCATCCTCATCGCGAATGTCTGTCCAAAAAGACAACCCATCCAGGCATTTCAGTACGGACCAAAGTGGTGGACTGACTGACAGACTGACATTGCCATCAATAGAGCCCATACATCCATGCTAGAGTCACACCATTAGCATTGGCTAAAAAGTGACGCATGCATACTGTACAAACTGAGCATGTTTGCTTCTGGTGACCGACCTTTTACTTCACTTTTTAATAATTATGATAAGAGGCAACTGGACCAGCTAGTGCAACAAAGATGTACCCAATATGCACAGGTTTTGTGACGTAAAAAGGTTCTCAAATTTTTTATTACCCTCAACTGTCAACGGAGAAACAACAACAGTGCAGCTCCAATCGGGGCAGTTGGTGTTCGGTGCTGTTTGGGAATTAAACGATACTTGTTGAAGAAGTAAATTGCAGTAGTTAATCCTCTCTTGCTTCCAGATTCTTTTCTCAGCGAGTCCATGGACCCAGTTCGGGGCGAGGACGATTAATTCATGGGTCATATTAATTGGCGAATTAATATAAAATATAAAATAAATGGTAGAATTCCCCATGAGCCCTTCTTAACTTACATGAAAGTCATCCCAACAGGACTTCAAAGAATTGTGGGAGTAATTAAACAAAGTGGACCGTCTACTCCGAGTCTCGTACAGGCAGTGGGACACAGAAACAAAGAGCAAAGAGGAAGCTCATTAGTGTAATCCTCATTTAGGGCAGCCGGTTTATGTTTCACGGTCATGGACGCACATAATGGTGCTACCCATCCCAGCCCTCACACACAGTGTCTCTGACACACACACACACACACACACACACACACACACACACACACACACACACAGATAGAAAACAGAAGCCATGTTTGTGTTGGGCACGCTCCCACAGCACACAGGATGATGGATTATAGAGTGTTCCTGTTTATTTATGCTGTGCTGGGTAGAGGAATATAGGCAAAGACCTCATGCATACAGCCTATGTATAGCAAATACAATCAGCCGTAAAATAAGATTGCATATTGTGAATGAGAAATGGGTTCACACATACATACACATACTGGGCTGCAGTCACACACACACACAAACACACACTGGTCTTTTTTTTACAGAGGAAGCTTGACTTGATTAACCTGGCCGGGGGAACCCGACATGTTTTTCCTTTTACGTCATGGCCCGCTCCCCCGAGCGGCTCGGTGGAAGCCATCAATTCTAGTTTGTCTGCAGTTTGTCTGTTTGAATTTTTTGTTAATCTGTATCATTCGTTGATGGCCTGTTGGCCCGGCGCAGGAAGTGCTGAGTGAAGACCGTCGCAGCGTTTCTTACTCAGACATCATACATCATGCTTTCTTTTTTCGCTCACCGAAAATATCTCAGTTAGACCGCTGTCCTCTGCCCTGTGACTTTGAGAATGAATGTTTCTGGTATTTTGAAGTTTTGTTTTACTTTACCATGGATGGATAGAGGAACACGCGTTTGAGAAGGCGAGGATTGTCAGCATGGCCTATGAGAACGGTTGGGAGGTGCACAGCGCCTGTGACTGTGTGACTATGGGGGACAAATGCTTTTCTCTCACACAGCTACTCTCTGAGCTGCGTACACTACAGCTTATCACTCCTTGACCATTTTTCTCTGTTTCTCCCTGTATCAGAAGGCCCATAGATCTTGAGTGGAGGGAAAGATGCTATGCCTGATTATAACAAGAGGTCAGGTCTT